TTGTAGCTTATGCATTTATTTATTTATTTATTTATTTTTATTTTAATTAGCTTAGAATTAGACTTGAATATAAATACTTGAGGGATTTTATTTTTCTAGATTAAACGCTTCTTAGTTTTCTTTCTCTCCATTGTTGAACCCTACCTTTTCATTCTTCATTAATTCAATCATCGAGGTATTTCAATTATTCTTTTATTTCTTTATTTATTTTATTTATTATGAATTCAAGTTTATTTATCTCTTTTGTTTTGTTTATTTCAATTATGAGTGAGTAGTCTTTTTCTAGGGTTAAGTGAGAGAAGCCATGTTTATACCATGATTATTTGTGCTTATTTATTTATAAATTTATGAATTAGGGTTTGAATAATTCCAATTGATTTGTGCTTTATTGTTTTATTCATGTAATTGGCCAATATCATGAGTTAATTATTTAGCTAATAAAAATTATAATTGAAAGATCATATTTTTAGAGGCTTAATTACAATTGGCGAATTTGATTATGTTAGCGACCGAACTACATATATTAATTCGTAAGTGTTAATTACCGACCGTAGGATTAATAAGTTCTTTAATTATTCGACCTAATTTGTTTATTAATAGATTGTTTGCATTTCTTGGTTTGGTATAAGCATGGTGGACCGAACGTTTGCCCTAGATTTTAATTTATCTGAGAGCAACGTTATTTTTAGTATTGTCATACTTTAGTTAACTAATTATCAAACTACTCTTCGTTTATTGAAATAGTTTAAAATAATTGGGCAAAAACTAATAGAACCTGTCTCCCTGTGGGATTCGATCCATATTTTCTAAGTCTCTTTTAACAACAGACACCGTGCACTTGCGGTATAACTTTTTATTCATCAGTTCCCTTTTAGAGCAGATTCATAGTTGGTTTCTTTTCTGATAGGCATTCGAAAATTGTTTCAGATGCAGAGAAAATCAAGGAACTCATATTGGCATCAATTCTAACTTGTTGGAAAAGAAGGTTCAAGGACTATTAGTTGACCAATCTGCACAATTGTCTTCATGCCATGTGTCGAGGTGGCATTGGGGCATTAAGAAGTGGAGGCATCAACGATGAGAATGTTACAGAGATCGTTAACTCGATCCCTCCAATGTACTACTCTTGGTTTGAAAATGTAAGGTATCAGACTTACAATATTCATTGTAAGATAATGGCTAAGAAACTCATTCCTGGTCAGTTAGTAAGAGACCATATGTGAAAGAACTAATTGATTCATTCAATCAGATGGATATTTTAGGGAGACCATTTGATAATGACTTCTCTAATTGACACTATTCTGTTCTCACTCCGTGATGGTTTGATCTAGTCAAGCTTATTCATGATTATGAAGGCTCAACAGTGACACTAGTTAGCCTTTTGATTAACCATACATAGGAATATTTAAAGAAGGAGGGAAGTCAATGCTTCTATTGTGGTAGGTGGTCTTGCCACACACTAGGGTGTCCCCATTACACACCAGTGAAAATTGAAGGTAAGGAATTACCTAATGTTTTTTGTTGTTGAAATCAATCTTACCTCTTCTAACAATTGGGTATTCGATACCGGTTATGGTGCTTACATTGTTAATAACATGTAGGGCTTGACAAAGTGTAGGAAGTTAGCTAAAGGGGAAGTCACACTTCGAGTAGGAATTAAAAGAAAAAGTTGTTGCACTTGCTATTGGAAACTATCATTTGAGACTTCCGTCTAGTCTTATTTTGGTTCTTAATAACTGTTATTATGTCCCTACTATTACCAAGAACATTATTTTAGTGCTTGTTTTAGATACTGAAGGTTTTTCTTTTGAAATAAGAGACAAGAGTTGTTTTATTTCCAAAGAAAATATGTTATATGCTAACGCAAAATTGATAAATGGTTTGTATGTCTTAGATTATACAACTCATATTTACAACATAGATCAGAAAAAGCGCAAAATAGATGAATCAAACAAGCTAGATCTATTTATGGCCTTGTAGGTTAGGTCATATAAACCAATCGTGCATCCAAAAATTACAAAAGGATGGACTCCTAAATTCATTTGATTATGAATCATTTGAGAACTATGAGTCATTCTTGTTAGGTAAAATGACTGGGTCACCTTTTACTGGAAAGGATGAAAGAGCTAGTGATCTTTTGGGACTCATACATATGGATGTGTGTGGACCAATGAGTTCAAAAGCTAGAGGTCGTTTTAACTACTTCATTACTTTTACTGATGATTTAAGTAGGTATGAATATTTCTATTTAATGAAGCATAAGTCGAAATCCTTTGAAACGTTCAAGGGATTCCAAATTGAAGTACAAAACCAACTTGGGAAAACAATTAAAGCATTACGATCCGACTGTGGTGGTGAATATTTGACCAAAAAAATTGATGAACATCTGATTAATTATGGAATAATTTCACAGTTAACTCCTCTAAGAACGCTACAATTGAATGGTGTATCAGAGAGAAGGAATCGAACTTTACTTGATATGCTTCGATCCATGATGAGCTTTACTGATTTACACATATCGTTCTGGGGGAATGCATTAGAAATAGCTGTGAACATAATGAACAGAAGCCCGTCCAAAGCAGTTGAGAAGACTCCATATGAGTTATGGAATGGAAAAGTATAAAAATTATCTTATCTCAAGATTTGGGGATGTGAAGCCTATGTGAAATGTTTAAAAGGCGATAAACTAGGCCCTTAATCAGACAAATGATTCTTTGTGGGTTATTTCAAAGAGACAAAAGGGTATTACTTCTACAATCGCAAAAATAACAAAGTGTTTGTTGCTCGCGATGGTGTCTTTCTTGAAACAGAATTTCTTTCTACAAAGTTAAGTGGGAGTAAAGTGGTTCTCGAAGAAATCCGAGACAAGCAAAAAATGGATGTGGATAACACCACATCAGAGGAGAAGACGCATGAGTCGACTAATACCACAAATCATGTGTCGGAGAAAGCTAATTCTAGCTAGACTCCTATAGTTCCACTTGAATCTAATTCTTGCGAAAATCTTCAAAGAGTTGAAGAGAATATTTCTATTGTTGCTCCTACCCCACATAGGTCTGTGAGAATCAGAAACAAACAATTTGCCGAGGTTCTGATAACTGAGGATTATAAAATCTCCTTATTGGAGAATGAAGAACCCACAACCTGCAAGCAAGATTTGGCGAGCCCCAACTCAGATAAATGGCTTGAGGCCATGAAGTCTAAAATGGAATCAATGTCTGAAAATGAAAAATTGTCAACAATAAAACAATCTTTAGTCAATCTTTTAAAAATAAAACGATGTTTTCATTATCCCAAAATAATACTATCTCTGGTTCGTATTATATGCAAATTTGGTTTATTATTTGGTGCAGAATATGTGAAGGGCCTATGTAGCATCACATTTCAACCCCTAAGGCTTGTCATATGAGGGGGCGTGATAGAGTATATGTAGCGATAACGACCTATATCCAATTAACCGTCAGAGTTAATTTTTGGTTGATGAGTTCGTCCTTTTAACACATTATAATTATAATAAACTACGTGTGTGTGTATATATATATATATATATTAATATATATCTCACATATTCTTCCAAACTTAAGAGCTTATGAAATCTAATCTAGACAATTTGAATCCATGCATATAATATTTGTTTTGAGGAGGGTGAAATCTTTTATCTTATCCGTGTGTGCCAAATTTAGATGAAAACAAACTCAAATATGTTAAATTTTATGGGCAACAAATTGGTACAAGGTGGTCCAAGAAACAAAGCTTATTGGATAGTGCTTGGCAGTAAAAGCGACATGCACCCAAGTGTCATGAATGACACATTTATTGTCGATGACGATTATGCAGCGAGTGCTGTCCTATAACCAATTACCCTCTTTCGTATGGTATCGATTATTTCTTTATGTTGGATGTTTCTTTATTTAATATGATTTGTGATGTGCAACAACTAATTCGAGTTAGGGTACCTGTAATTATGACTGCTACATGATGAATGGTCTAATGTGGGGAACAAAAGTTAACTGCGTTTAATCAGGTTATTATGGTGTACTAAATGGTTTCTAAATTCTAATCTTGGTCTTAGTCACACCTTTTCCGCCAATTATGCATTTGTAACGATGTGACCTTACTTAAACCCAATTCAAACATCTTGAAGTATTTTTGTTTTCATTTTTATACGTTTATATATGTTCTTAGAACTCAACAATTTTTATGGTTTTAACCAATAAATTGTTGACTCACTTGATAAGAAACTTACATTGAATAACTGTGAGGGTTGATGTCTAATGTGGATCTTTCTAATTCCAAAAAAAGTCAGATGGTTCTTTAAAGTAATAGTATAGTAGAGGAATTTTTTGTTTTCATTATTGGTTTTAACGGCAATTTAACGTCACTATATCATTTAGTATTATTTTGGATAGATATGAAAAAGGTCCTCTAAACTTCTAACAAATAATCATAACTTTGCATTGGTTAACCGGCCTGACTTAGTGGACAACATCTTTGAGAGTGGAGAGCGAAATGTAAAACTCTACCCCTAAAGTATCCCCATAGAAAATTGAGCCCATAGCCTTAATAGGTAAACCAAATTATAGTTGGTAGTAAGTACATGAGTATATCATCATAAGTGATTGTTGACTTATTACCTACACGAAGAGGGACATACAAGACCTTCTTGACTATGGTCGTAATACAGTAATACAATACACATTACACAACCTATATATTGACATTACTTCATTGTATGTAGGTGAAAGGACCCCCTTAAATTTGAATATGCAGAAAGCCAATTACAAAGTAAATTTAAGGAATAGAAGAGAGGACAATACATTATTCAGAAAAATGACAACAATTTAATTGGAAGCCAAAGAAACTACTTCCTATTACACCTACACGGCTACACATATAAAAGTCATGTTAAAGCATATGTTCCATAAAAAATTGAACGTATAGCACTAAGGGTTTGTTTGGCCAAGCTTTTGAAAAACAACTTTTGTTTCCCAGAAGTAGTTTTCCAGAAACTATTTCTAGAGAAACAGTTGTAAGAAATAGATTTGTTTGGCCCATCAAAAATCAGAAGTGATTCTTAGATTGAGAAACTATTTTACCCTGTTTGGCCCATATTAGTTTTTTTTTTAAAAAAAATTATTTGGGAGAATAAATTAGTATTAATTTCTTGTACATTGTTGTTAATAATAGTTTTTTTTTTTTTGTTAATAATAGTTTTTTTTTTTGTTTTTTAATAGCAAATTGTTTATAATAGCTTATAAGATTAAATTTAATTTAAAATATTGAACAATTCATAAGTCTAAATACTTAGATTTTTTTGTCAAAATATAAAAAATTCATATCCAAAATGTCTGCTATTATTATTCCTAATAAAAGATCCAATAATGTTACAATCCACGACTCATTAGAGAAGTTGCAATATTATAGCGAATAGACTCCATACTAAAATCATGTTCACTTCCTATTTCAACCCCTGGTGTTGTAGCTAGCAATGTTAGACACTCTCCAATGCTACAACCAGGAAGATCGGTTCTTTTTGAAGTTACAGTAGCACTAGATTGAGAGAAATTCTCCATCGCACCAACAATACGTTTTAGCTAATTTTGCATGAGCTTAGCTGTGCTAACTTTAGATTTATTTCCTTTTTGTGTTTTTTTTCCTTTTTCTTCCGATGTTGTATTGACTTTGGTCTTGTCAATGCTTTCACTTTCAAGCTGTTGAGATACTGTTTCATTGATACTACCATCCATAGTAATGTCAACTTGTTCCTCATATTCTATCTCTTCGTTTCCTATGGTAGTCAAGTCTTCTATTTCAATATCATCTTGTGAATAAGGGTTCCATGAAGTTGTAGCAGAAACAATTATTTTAGCAAACATGATCTCTAACTCTGTTAAATTTTGGATTCCAGCTTCACGAAATTTAGCAACACTCGGATTGGCCTATACAAATAAATAAATGTAATTAGTTAAAACTAACTACTTGAAAAAGGCAATGTACAAATTAGATTAATGTTATGCTCACCTGTTCTTGGAGTGCCCACCACTTATCGGATGCAACAATTGTATTTTTCTCATGATCCCATCCTAATCCTGTCTCCTTTTCTACGAGATTCTTCCATGTAGCGTACTCCGTTTTTAACTTCTCCCACTTGTTTTTTAATTGCTTCTGGTCATACTTTTTACCAGACCTTTGTTAGAACTTTATAACCACATTATTCCAACCAATTTTGCTAAAATGAGTGTGTGGTCTATTCCCTGCATGGACCTCTTCAGCACAAACCTCACAAAAAATCTTAGTTGTTTCATCAAACCAAGTTGCTTTTGACCTCTTTACTTGTTCGTTAATCTAAAGACAAACAAAGCCATGAAACGTTGTGCATTACGCATAAGCTTCACCAACCATACACACAACATAATTATGTAATCTGCCTCCCAAGGTCACGCTTTATAAATTCTACCAGCATTATATTGACAAACCTTACAACATACAAGCCGAGTACTCTTTAAATCCAACATGCATTTCATTCCCTAATATATATATATATATATATATATATATATATATATATATATATATATATATATATATATATATATATATATATATATATATATATATATAAAGCCCATAACATGTTCATTAATTTGTTGATGCATAATGTATAGCCAAACTTTATTACTCACCTTTAAGAAAGGTTAGGTAATGGTTCCCTGTCTATAAGTTCTTACAAAGAATATGATACTATGACATCATAACCTCAATACCTCAAAAATATATTTCAACCATTCCACTATCACCTTGTCCGGATATAAGCAAGTAAATTTGATACCAACACAAGAAATGAATATACTAAATAAACATCCAACTACGTACATATACTACACCATTGTCAACATAGATCAGAAATACCCATGACTATAGCCCTTAAATATAACTTTCAATTAGAACGAGATAAACGTCCAATTATATGGCCAAGTGGCCAACTGCCCAAAATTTGCACTGCACAGCTATCAGTGGCATATAATAAACCACATCCATATATGTAGTGGTATAACAGGTACTGCATAGCTTGTAATGGTTAAAAGAGAAAGAAATCGATAATTCATCTTAACAACTTATAATATCAAAGTCAAGACTCTCAAGGAGGCCTTATTTATTTATTTACTCTGATATAGCAACAAGGCACACAATATCGAGGTACTCAGCAATCCCTTTGTCAAAAAACAATAGTCAATTATAATACAATATTAGGAATTTAGGATGTTCTAAAAAAGTAGACACATTTCCTAACTTTACCAATTAATAAAGACCATAGTTCTAATATTGTCCCCAACTGTCAATCTGACACCCCCTTATGCCCCAGAACAAGCAGCCTAGCAAACAACTTCCTATCTCTAGCTTAATGACTTTGCATATTTCTGGGCTCTAATGTTGTACTAGACAACAACTATATCGAACCCACTACGATTACAAATAACTTCAATGTAACATATATGAAAGAAAAGCTTCCGAGTTCTAATTTTTCATTACTGCGTATGAGATTAACAAGCTCAACCCTTACAGATGACATTGTTTTTAGTTTCGACTGCTATTCCGCCTAAACCACATTAAACTTATAACCATACTATATTTAACATTAATTTCATGGCATTGTCCTAACACAGGTATCATTTACCCAGTTTTAAATTCTAAGAATACCCAGAAATTGAATTTGTGTAAACGGTTAGTATTTTGCTAAATTGAATCAAAAATGAAATTTTCAAGATCTATATTCTGGACCAATTCACTAACCTCATTGGCAGAACTTCTTGTTCGTGAAGTATTGGGATGATTTGGATGAGGAGAACCACTGAGATCTATAGCTTTCTCCTATTTCAAAATCAATGCAAAGAAATTAGGGTTCTACCCACAAAAGAGAAAATTTTAATAAGTAAAAAAACATTACCTTATTATTGCTTGGTTGTGTCCTCTTGGGTGGACGAAATGGTGGCGCCGGTGGTCTAGGAGGACCGGATTGCATGTCGTCGGACGCCGTCTTCGTTTGGCCTTGAGGGTTGAGCGTTTCGTGTTATTGGAGAGAGAAAGAGCTGCTCAGTGTTTATGAGAGGTGAAGAGAGAGAGAAGGGGGGTTTCTTTTTTTTAATGGGATATTAGAGGTCTTTTTGTAAAATGTTAAGGATATTTTTGTCCAAAAAAAAGTTTCATTAAATGGGAAATCAGCTCCCCGAGAAACTGATATAGAGAAGCTCAAAATTGGTGCTTCTTATTTTTCCCACTCTAGAAGTTATTTTGGGCTTCTTGAGAAAGTGTTTTTGTTTCTTAAAAAACCCTTATTTAGCCCAGTTTCTATTTCTTAGATAAAGAAACACTTGTAGAAACTAGGCCAAACAGTTACTAAGCCACTAACCTCTCTCCAAGAAGAATAAATAACAGTCAAAGAGTAGTAAAACCAAACTTTTCATTATCAAAAAGTAAAAATAAATTAAAAACGCAACTACTATCAACTGCAACTCTGCATATTTGGCCACCATCTATTGATATAGCTTCTTGACCATTCCCTTTAATTACTCAATCCTCTTGTGCCCACAAATTTGCCCTTGGTTGGCGATCGAGATGTGTCCATTCTTTTAACTATGAACAAAATACCACTTTTGTTTTTTCGTTTGAATTAATATTATCCCCACAATATAGGATTTATATTATAATATGCTACTCTAGCTATCCAATATCCATGTCTAATACAGGTACATGTTTAAGTGTTCGACGTGACTATTATGCTAAAAGTTTGCAGGATTTTGATCTAAAATGAAATGTCAATATATCTTATCTATGATTGAGTGTCGAAGATCTAATACAAGAACTTGATGTGATTAAAAGGTTCGAGTAACATAGATAGTGCCAACTCTTCTAAATTCCTACACAAAATTTTGATAAAGAGATGAACACAACCACGCCTAAATATCTGTTTTTTTTCTAATACGTACTGACAAAGATTAAGGATGTTACACATCGGGATCATAATTGAGGACTGCATGTGCCTAGTATTAACACCGATAGTGAGACACACGTTTGAACTTGTTATATGTACACTGGTTAATGTGATTATGCCCTTTGTTTTTGTTTCCTTATTTAGTCTCATATTAATGTTGAATACCACTTTGCATCACTTTGTTATACACTTATTTATTGGGTTGTGAAATTAAAGCTTATGCAAGGAAACTTATCCAAAGAAACAACTATGGAAAAGCATAAATTAACCGCTCATTTAATAAGTGGTAATAAATTGTATGTATAACAATGAATATATAAATAAATTTGTAAGAACAGTTAATGCTTAGTAATGCTAATTCATTCCAAATTGTAGGAACATTTGTTAATTACTACCTCAAAAAAGGGGTCTTTGTGAATTACTACCCCTAAATAAAAAGTTGTTAATTACTACTTTAAAACTGATGAATTTTATAGATTGCTAACCTTTTCCCTAATCAGCCCCTAATTAGGTGATTTAATCTATTAATGATATTATTATCCGGCTAATTTGTAATTAGTTACTTTTAAGGCATGATTAATTAAATATACCCTAACACTACCTCTAAACCACCACTACACCACCTTCGGCAGCCTACCCCCGCCCCGGCATCCACCCCCCCTCTAAACCACTCATTGCACCACCTCTAAACCACCAACAATCCCTCCAACCCTTGAAAAATCCCTCCTCCCCACCCACCAACGACCCTAGCCCCCTCCTCCTTGTCAGAGAAACCTATTAGGACCTCCCTAAGCTTCCTCCACCCCCTTCCCCCCTTTAATCACCACCCTAATTTTCCAAAATTAAAACCCTAAAGCCCTAAAATTGAAACCCTAGGATGGTGATTAGGGGGGAAGGGGATAAAGGAATATTGGGGATGGTCGAGCAAGGTTTTTTGGCGAGGGGGTAGGGGTTCAGGGTCGCCGCGGGTAGGGGATCGGGGTATCGTGAAAGGAAGGTGGTTTTAGGGTGGGCAGATGGTAGTTTTAGAGTGAGGAGTTGGAGGAGGTAGGTTCGGTAGTGGGTGGTGGGTGGTGGGTGGCCGGAGGTGGTGCAATGGTGGTGTGGAGGTGGTTCTAGGGTTTAATTAATTATTTAATATTTAAAAACAATTAATTACAAATTAGCCGGTGTAGACACCTAAAAATGTCTCCCCAAAACCAAACCCGATGATGAACAACATTTCACCGCCATTATTGGTCGGGTTGAGTATTTAATCTTGTAGTGCTTAAATCTATATTTCTATTTCATAAACCAACCCAACCTCTAGCCCATTTCCCCAAACCATAACTTACTCTTTTCGTGTTTTTTAAACCCGAAATAATTCATTTCGTGTCCTTTAAAATCATTCATTTCGTGTCCTTTTTATAAAAATGTTTAATCCTGTTTTTTTTGGTCCATAATCAGGGTCCGATTCTTAAATAGTTGGATGAGGCTTTAAAATAGCTTTCCAACGATATATTATAAGCCCAAATCCGAGTTATAACGAATAAGTTATGGCCAAAATATTAAACTAGCCCAAACCGAACCTAAGCCCACCTTACCTATGACTCAATGATCATGTGGAGGGTCCAAATTATTAATCCCATTCCTAAACCAATTAGGATTAATTGGAAGCTTCTATAAGTTTCTACAAGATCTTAATTATCCTTTTTGAAAAGATAAGATTAAAGAGTTTGAAATTGAATAAAACTTTTCTTTTTGAAAATCCTATTTCTATCTGAATTGAAAGACGTTCAAAGATAGTCAGATATAATTTTTTTGCCTTATATTTTTTATCCATATTTTATATAATTGGATAGCCCTTGAAATTATATTTCTGATGATATATTATAATATCAATTCTGAGTTATAACAGAAAAGATATGAATAAAATATCAAACTATATCCAAAACTGACACCGTCTCACTATTTCGGTCATATCTTTTATTCTATAAGATATTTTAATCTGATTCTAATTGGGTTAGAAATTAGACTTCAAGATCTTTCCAACGATATCTTATTCATCTTATTCCAATTTGTGGATCAAAAGATATGATAAAAACAAAGACCAAAAAAACTGTTGTCTATCGCAAGAGTTTTATCCGATTCGAATTCTTATCTTATCTTATCTTAATTTTTCGACCCTTCTTTTTTTCTCTATAAATAGAGGTCATATATCCCCTTTTTCAATCATCAACAACATTGATCATCAAATAATTCTCTTCTCTCTCTTTAGCTTAAATACTAGCCACCCTATTCTCTCAAAATACTTCCCCTAATTAAGTACTCCAAGGAGTTCATACAATACCCAAAGTTCTATACTTAAACCAAGGCGTGAAAGGTATAATTAATTGAGGGTTTGGACCAAATCAAATCAATCTTTATTTAATTTCATTTTCAGTTTGATTTATATTTTTTTTATTGAAGTTACTAACAGTTTATTCATGATGTAGCAATTCAAGGAAACGCCGAAAGTGAGTAATTGATTAACTTAATTACTCTTATTTTAATATTGCTAGTATCATGATTAAGTTTATTTTATATTTGATTTGACTAACGTTATCATTGTTAAATTGCTTCCAATATTAATATTAATTCTATTATTATTATTTATTGATCACAACATTGCATGTTAAAGGGAATATGTAATTGAAAATCACGCCTAATAAGATAATTTTGACAACCGGCTTAGGTTCCTTTTTAATCTTATTGTTTAATCAAGTGGTCACGATATTTTAGAATTATATGTTGCATTAATATTAAACCAATTTAGCCTAATAATAGTTTAGAGCAAATTGAATATTTTGTTTGTATGCCTTTGAGATCGCAAGAATCACTTTTCACTATAAGAATCGAGTGGAGGCCAATACGGGCAAATGTGACTCCATGACTCACTTTGTACCATCATCCCCGATCCTCCTTTCGTGGTTCCGAACCATATGGAGTTAGTAATCTCATAGATTATGAATGGGGTGTAACCTTCACGGGTCAATCGTTGTTGCCTATCATTGTCCCTTATCGTGGTTGCCTTTTTATGATCCATGAACGGTTTACAAGTTCCTTAAAAAACTTGTTGGCGGCTCCCTACTTTATTTGTCCCTAATCGTATTATGTCAATTCCCACTTCCTATGAGTGCCAAGCATATTCACACATGCTTTTAACGTAGGCGCATTTCGAGCGACACCTACAGCCAGATAATGATAACATTAATAGATTAAATCACCTAATTAGGGGCTGATTAGGGAAAAGGGTAGCAATCTATAGTTTTAGGGTAGTAATTAACAATTTGTTTTTTAGGGGTAGTAATTCACAAAGACCCCCTTTTGAGGTAGTAATTAACAAATTTTCCCAAATTGTATCTTTTTTTTTCACAAAATTCATACATCTATTATCATTGAAGGTAATATTGGGTGGTAATGTAGGTCTATATAATATTGGGAAATTCTCAACGGTAACCCCCAATTTGTGTAACACTGAAATGGTGACCTTTTTTTTTAGGTCTATTATTCCTTTTTTTTTTTTTTTTTTTATTGTACAATATGACCTTAATTAACAATTTATTCTCACTTATAACCTTATTTCACTAAATGGTTAATTTAAATTAAACTATGGTTAGCCTTTTTTTTTTTTTACAAGAACTTTTAAAAAAAATAAATTAACTCACCAATCAGCCACCCACACGCACCCCACCACCTTCAAATTAAACCTGCCAGCCACCGCCACCCTCCTTCACTACCGGCGACCCTAACCAAGGACCCATGAATGCTTCCCGACCACCGCCTCTCCCTCTCTGTCCTTTGACAACACCGAAACCCACCACCGCACACCAATTCAAACACCGACAAGATTTTGATTGAAGGTGGTGGTTTCGATTTCGGGTTAGGATGGATTCGGTTTCGTGTTAGGAGGGATTTGGTTTCGAGTTTGGGTTTGGGTAGGATGTTCGAATTCGGGTGGCTCGTCAACAAAGAGAGATGGAGGTACGGCGAGCCGGCAAGTGACCATACTATGGGTCGTGGGTCAAAGGAGAAGTGGAAGTGTCGTGGGTCTGGTGGGGTTGTCGGGTTGGGGTGAGGGGTTGGTGGCTCTGAGGCGGCGACTGGGTGAGGCTGAGGTGGAGGTGGTGGATGGGAGAGGCTGATGGTGAAGGTTGTTGGAGGTGGTAGGTTGGGTGGTTTTTTTTGTTTTTCTTTTTTTTTTTTAAGAAAATCTAACCATGGTTTAATTTTTTAACCAAATAAGACTCATTAATGTTATAAGTAGGATAAATTTCTTAATGAGGGTCATTTTGTATAATTAAAAATAAAGAGGGTTACCATTTCAGTGTTATAGAAGTTGGGGATTACCATTGAGAATTTCCCTATAATATTACTATATAAGCACAAGTTAATGTATAAAATTGCACTACTAAGAATATTAGGATGTAAATAACTAAACTTTGATATCAATAAGGATATTTATTTTATATATTATATTTACATTATTATAAGACTAGATTAGGCTCGTGCGTTGCAAGGAATGAAATTTTTAATAGAATGACATAAATTCTTTCAATTTATTATTTCCCCATACATACTTATAAATTAGATCATAAAAACATATCTTTCATCATGAATTACTTAGCAACAAAATATAAAAATGAAAGCAATCTGATCTAATCAAACCATATGCATACGAATTATATATATATAAGAGTTCGATATACAAATTAAAAATACATTTAACTTAAATAAATTGAAGCGATATAATAAAAAATAAATTAATAAATTAAAGCACCTTGGAAATACTGCGAAACACTAGTAACATTAAACGACAACATTAGTTCATTTTGTATAACAAACATCTATATTATTATTACATGACCTCATAGGTGGGTTGCTTTCACAACCGTACGTTTACACATACAAATAACAGTAAAACCTTAAAAAAAATAAAAAAGAACGTCATAGTTACCTAAAATATTTTAGCTCAATATCAATTTTATTTATTCCAACAAAAAAAATTATTTATTTATTTATTGACATAGTCAAATATTGAAATAAAAATGATTTAATATAACCAATTCCTAAAAAATAAAAATAAAATAAAATAAATAAATAAAAACCCAAAAATATAAATGTCATCATAAGTGCATTAGGCGAGAAATTTTTTTATGAGTGGGCGATACGTATACAATTTGAGGAAAGGATGATGTCATCATTTTTTTGTTTTAGTATGTAATAGTTAATAGATGAAAGAGCAACACGCATACAATTTGAGGAAAGGATGATGTCATCAGTTTTTTATTTCATTAATAATTAATAGATAAATTACTTTAAATTATGTCGAGTAAACAACAACCTTTGCATTGTGGACTAATTAAGGACTTTTCACTTTAGAATTTCTTGCTTATATTACGGAAAGCTTTTATCAATCAAGTGTATACCGTATACCAAAATGATGTGATAATGTAAATGATTTACTCCTTTCAAGTCCCATAATACTTGACACTGTTTTTATTTAACTCCACTTCAAATACTTAACACGTTACTAAATATGGAATGAGACCATTAATTAAAAAAAAAATTTCTCTCATTATCTCTCTCCTCACCTTTTTTTTTTGTAAGCCTATCTCTCTTCTCACCTAACTCACTCTCATCCCATTTATTATTTTCTTACAATATTAAATATGTAAAGGAAAATATTTTATATAATAAATAAATTTTTTAAACAGACTCATTTGTAACTTTCTTAAACTATGTGTCCACCCCAACATCCTAAATATTATCGGATGGAGGGAGTATTATATATTTTAGAGGGAGAATTCCATTTCCCCTGGTTGATTTAATCATTTATTACTCAAGGTCTCATCTCTCATGGACAACACACAACATCAACAACATTTTGAAGTCATATATTATCCGCCTACAATTTCCGTATACGAAGAAGCCAATAGGACAGCAAATTATATTGCTTTTTTAGCTTACACACATTGTATTTAGTTATATTTTTCTTTTTTACAAGACATATTAGATTATTAGGTGATGATATTGTGAGAAGACATGTTTGATTCTATTAGACATACTTTGCATGTATGGACAATAATAATAGACATACCGTCAAAATTAATATTTGTTCCGTCTCAAATTACATATCACTTTTTTTTTTTTTTTTTTTTTTTTAAAAGTTACGTTTGTCAATGTAAAAATTCATTTTATAATATTTTTAATTATACTATTGTAATATATATATATATATATATATATATATATATATATATATATATATATATATATAATAAATTGAAATAAATCTAACAACATCTCATATAACTATGATTTTTATAGAGTAAGTATTTTATGTGGCTAGCCACACGATGTGGCCACATTAGTTTATAAGAGTAATTTTTATTTATATGTACGAGTAACTTTAATTTTCACAAGAGTCACCTCATGTTGTACATAAAAATAACCCAAATTTATTATACAAGTGAATTCAAGTAATTCAGAAATAAGTAACTCCATTTGTTCATTTGAGTAACCCCTATTTTTTTGTTTTAAAAAATGAAAGAATAATTCCCCTTATTTAAGAGAGTAATCCTTATTTCTCATTTAAGTAACCACCATACGCATTAAGGTAACCCCATTTACCCATCATCGTAACCCCCTATTACTCATCACCGTAACCTCCTATTACTTAATTAATATTCTTGAATGTGATTATGTGAATTGGCCACATGGTGTGGCTAGCCACATATAAAATTTTGTGATTTTTATAATCTAAATATCATAAATGTTAGTTAAAACAAAGTTATAAATAATGTCAAAAGTTAAAAATATATAATCCAATTTAAAACAGATGAAATACAAAAAAAAAATAATTTAAAAAGTCATGCTATATCATTTATTCCAAAAACAAAGGTGAAATTATTTCAATAATTCAAACAAAAAAATCTACCTAGGTCAAACTATTAAAATTAAAAAATAATGTAGCATGCACTTCTTATATTCATATTGGTACCGAAAATTAAAATTAGGCAACCCTACGTCCCTAAACTTTGAGCTCATTGTGAAGGGCACATGGAGCATGCACTAAATGACATAATTTCTCAAACCCCACCATTTTACAAATTGCCTAAGACCTTAATTCATTCTTCATATCTTCCCTCAATCCCCGCATCATTACCCGCCTCTTTATCCTCTTTTTCTTTTTTGTTTTTTTCTTCTTTTTACCCTCATTAAGAATTAAAAAGAGAGGGAACCACTCATACCAAACAATCTAGGTGTATAAATACACTATAACCAACATTCAATAAAACAACTCCCTAAATTTCCTCTGTTTTTTTTCTTCTTCTTAGCAATGGCATCCAATGTAAGATGCTTTTTCTTGCTCTTAGCCTTAGCCTTAGCCTTTTGTCTCGAAACTCATGCTAGAGATAGCAAGTTCTTTAGCAAAGTAAGCAAAGAAAACAAAGAATCAATTAGTATTGCTCCTATACAGTCACCAACACAAACTCCTTCTCCGTCGCCCGAACCTGATGTTGTCGAACATGGGTACGGGCTTTACGGTCAGGAGACGACTTATCAATACCCTCCAACCACCACAAACCCAACAAAAAGTGATAATTTTGGTCAAGAGAAGTTTGTTTCTAGTGAAGAGTTGAGCAAGAACAACTTTAAGGAATTTGGAATGGGTTATTCCAATGACAACTTTAATGAGAATGGGAATGAGAAGAAAGGAATGAGAGATACTAGATTTTTGGAAAATGGGAGGTATTATTATGATGTTAATCAAGATGTTAAGGAAGAAAGTAGCTTATTGAATGAGAATAAGAATGAGTATGTGACTGAAAGGCAAGGAATGAGTGATACTAGATTTTTGGAGAATGGGAAGTATTTTCATGATATTAGTCAAGAGGGTAGAAATGCTCATTTCATCACTAACAACTATGAAAGTGAGAATGAGAATGAGAATGAGAACGAGAACGAGAACCAACACGAAGAGTTTGAGGAAAAATATGGCCATTTCAACAATAACAACTTCGAGAATGTAAATCACAATGAAAACGAGAAATTTAATGCGGAGAAGCAAGGGATGAGCGATACAAGGTTTTTGGAGAATGGGAAGTACTTCTATGATGCCAAGAATGATCATGGAGTTGGAGATGATGTAGGTTTCCACAACAATAATAATGTTGAGTTTGCCAATACTTTCTCTAGGAATGGGAATGAGTATGAGAATGGTAACTATGAGTATGAAACACAAGGAAGAGAGGGTAATAATTATTATCATGGTAATGAGTATAATGTGAAAGAAGGAATACGGGGTTATAAACCCAAGAAGTTTCCTAATGAGTATGATACTATGGAAGAATATGATAGGGAACAAGGGTACATTAATGGTCATGAAGGTGAATATGTACCATGATTAAAATTTAGTAGAGTTATGTCTAAGAAAAAATGATTTTAGTTTGAGAAGATCAAAAAGGTTTATAGTTTTTTATTACACTTTTGTTTGTTAAGTTATCAAGATGTATGAGTCTTGTTTGGCAATTTTTGCTTTTAGTTATTTGTGTAAGCCAAAATTAGCCACAATTATGTACTCCGTATTTTTCTTATGTTGGAAATGCATCTTTGAAATTTAACATCAAAAACGATTCTCACTAATTATAAAAACAACAATAATACTTTTTCATTTGATTTAATTAGTTATTAACGTTATAGTATAGCATGAACCTTATTAAACTCACTCAGTCACTCCCATATAATGATTTATGAGTGACCCCTCCTAATCTCGTAAATCTTTGTTATTTACTTTTAACAATTTTGTGTACAAAACAAATGTAAGGGAAATGTTAACTTGACTTCTAAAAGGGAATTTAAAAGAGAAATTTTACACAAACACCCATCAGGTGTTCACTTTTCCAATATGTGGCCCTTCCTTTTAAAAATTCTATGCTATAACCTCAAGTAGGGGTGTGCAAAAAAAGATCGAGACCGGAATCCGGACCGGTGTGAGGAGGGTGTGCCCATCATAGGGCCCCTTCACCTCTATGCTCATGACACTTTAAAAGCGTAGGAATTTACACTTTTTTAGAGTGTGTTATGATTTGATTTCTTGACTGTTTGGGAGACCCTTGAATTAGAGTTGATCCTATCATGCATTATGTTTTTTTGTAAGAAACTAGTAAGTAGTCGCCAATGAGTTTTAGAAAAATTCATAATCCTCGTTCATTCCTTTCTTCCAAGTATGGTTCAAGGGATATTTAGCATGAATCACAAGTTATCCGATGCCCAAATTGATTTACTTATACAAGAAATGAGTTCAGGAGTGAGGATACTAAAATAACGTTCCCTTTAAAGGGGAATTAGTGCAACCTCTACTAGCTTTTCCTTTTTTACAATTTCATCACCAAACAATATATGCAATGTGATTCCTAAAAACTAAGTTAGTTGATTTTATTTACACACGTTAATCACTTAAAAATTACACTGCAACGAATGTCGTTATTCTTTGTTTATCAAATTCGTGAAAAGAATAAAAATAAACAAGATTCGCCTTGACTTAATTGATAAAACAATCAATTATTCATTAAAATTCAAATCTTGATTAATGAAAGAATGATATGTATATTAAATTAATGAAAAGTTTGTTTAAAGTGGTCAAACAACACTAATTAACCAATTAAAATTATTTAAACAATAAAAGAAAAGTGATTTATCTAAGTGCTCAGGAAACTAACCGTTCTTCTTTTATGCTAAATCTCCGTCAAATGTGTTTATGGACATTCTTTCTTCTTCGTACCTCAAAGGGCTTCAATGGATGGATTAGGGTTAAAGAGTATTTTAGGGCTTCAATGGATGGATTAGGGTTAAAGAGTATTTTAGGAAGAAAGGAGAAAAGTAGTTCTCCCTCCTTCCCATGATATAGTTCTTGTTTTTGTTTTTTCACGATATTTAAGAATTTGGAAGAGAAAATAGATGAAGTACATTAATAAAAGTGAAAAGTAAAATTATATATAAAAAAAAAGTTAGAGTGAGAAAGTGAAAAAAAGTACATGACATGTACAAAATTATTCAAGAGCAATTTAGAATGTACAATGAATAAAATTATAAAAAATGAGGGTATAATAATCTTTACGTAGTATCTAAAAATTAAAACATGAACAACATTTTGAATGTCTAAAAAAGGAAAACAGGAACTATATTATAGGATGGAGGGAGTATGATAGTAAGATAACTTGAGAGATTAGGGTTTTAAGATTCCTAGGGTTTAGAATTACGTCCTAGGGTTGAACGAAGACCCCCATTTATAGGCGTATGAATCTAGGTTTAGGGTTTTAGAGTCATGGCGTCAGGTTGCGTGCACAACTCTCGTAGTCACGCTAGTGTGCCCAGCACAACTCTTTTACTTGCGCTTGGCAGGCGTGCGCAACTCTAACAGTTGCGAGCGGTGCAGTTTGCCTAATACGAAAATGCGATGATATATTATTGGAAAGCTTTAAATGTTTACTTACCAATGCCGTTAGAATTAGGTTAAAATATGTTTAAGATAAAAATATTTGACTGTTGGAGTGCAAGGGTGTCGATTTTAGGGATTAGTTTGGTATTTTGATGATAACTTCTTCATTTAATTGTGATTATAATTTACCGTTTGAAAGCTCTTTGAATAATATATCCATATTTATAGGCGTTTCATGGAAATTTGATTGTTTATTTATCTATTTGGCTCGATTTTCAACAATGTAAGATCCATTGGATCCAATAATTGCATTTGACCCATTTAAGTCCGTTATTAATCAAGTCTAAACATGTATGAGCAGATTTTAGGTCTAATTAGTAATTGGAAAAGGCTCTAAGGTAACATGGTCTAAAATATAGGTTTTAACTTACTTCATAATGTAGTTCGTAGTCCATAAGACTTCAACTTTGATCTGGCATAAAGAACGGGTTTTTGTAACATCATCGCACTTCTTGTCGGGACAGGAAGCCAAAAGTAGGTGTCTAGATACTCGATGATCAAAGTTGTCAATGAAATAAATCTAAAACTCATTTTGCAAAATTCCTTAAAGATATGGAATCTTTCAGTAGTGTTGAGAATGTCGAAACTATCCTCGATTTGCTAAATGTTCAAGGCAAGTAGTTGCTAAGACCAGAAAATTATTTTTCTAGATTTAGTGCGTAAAGAATCTAAATTGACCCTTTGCAAGTATTGAACGCTATTACAAGTAAAGTATGTCATGTGTGATGTCATGTTATGAGAAGATATCAGTTTTAAAAAAAGGATGATACCCTCTCAATATGTCATCGGCACTATAAAGTCCCTCAATATATTTCTCACTTTAGTCCATGATTTTAACGAAGTAAAAGATGATAAAATGAGGTGCGTTTTGGCGCTCAAAGCCTAGCACTTGAATCGGGGTTTTGTCCATAAATACTTGGGGTCCACAAGATAGGAATACATGTCTCAAGACTGGAGGCATATATCCAAATCCAGGGAGAGAAGAGAAAATCGGTAACTCTCTCAGCAGTTTTGTCCACAAGATGAAAACACACGTTTCAAGACAGGGGGCAAGTGTCTAAATAGGTGCGGCTTTGCCATGTCGTTCTTTATAAAGGGGGTGAACGACACCCTAACTGTTAGGTAAAGCCAGTAAGCTCACTAACTAACCGTATTTGTCTCTAATCGAGAAATGTTTGTTCTCGATGGTTAGGCGCGCCTGTCGACTCGTTAAGCTGACGCCTAAATTTTGTAAAGAAGTTCTACCGTTTTTCGTTACGGGTGGTAGATCACGTTGCTAAGTGAGTGAAATTTTATACAACACCAATGCCATACAGTTTTACGATGTACGTAAGTCATCTTTTTTTGTTCTGCACACTAAAAAAACGAAAAATGTGACATTTCTAAACTCAATACAGTAAAACGCCAAACATGTTTGGGGAGATTTTATGTAAAGCACCACTACGGAATATTCACTACTACAAAATTGCTCAAAGAGACGTAAAGAAGAGTCCATTTAAGTAGATAACAGGTCTCTTTGTTTCAAGAAACCTAATATTACAAATAAGCGGTCTCTTTGGTATTGTCTTAAGAGGTGAATATTAAACAAAGACCTTTAAATATAGATAACAGGTCTCTCTTGGATTTTTAAATTTTTATTTTAAAAAGGAGAGATCTATGTTAATACATGTTAGGTCTCTCTTGAATTGTTTTATTTTAAATTTATTCTCTGAGTTATCTCCATCCTCTCTCTCTCCAACATTTGATTAAAAAAACCTAACAAATGAATTAACCACCACCACCACCATTATCGGCTACTACCACCACTACCACCACCATGATCTACCTCTTCCTAATCTTTCTCATCACCCAATTTATATCCGACCACAATGTCAAATGAAAATAATGACCACCATCCACCTCTATCAGAAGATGATGTCGAAACTCCGGCGCCTTCACTGTCACTGGAGTTCCTCTATCATGGTGAATACTCGATGTCGTCGGGGTTTGCAGAGTGGGTGCATACAAAGTTTCACCTAACAATAGGTCGCCAAATTGGAGTGCTTCGCCACTGTCGCTATTGACGGTTGAAGAATCACTAAAGAATCGGGAGGATTTGAACTTGGGAGAGTGAGGTACAATCATCATTCTTCATCCTCTTTCTAATTTTGCTACTTTCAAGCATTAAATTGTTTGATTTTAATTTTGCTATGAATTAATTGAATAGTATTGATTATACAAAGTGCTGTAAATAAATTTAGCTTAAGAATCCTTGATTTATTTTATTGTTTAGATTTTTGAGAAAATTCACTAATTTTGGGTTTTGTTAGGTATTATACAACAAGCTTGTACAGAGGAATTACTTGTGTCTAGAATGATTTTGATTTAACTATCAACATGTTTTCTAAATTTGTTAAACAATATGGGTCTCGATCTTCTATATCTTTTATTTTTATCTTTGTTATAGATTCAAAGAATATTAAAGAATACTTGTTCTTTAGTGAATTGATCTTTGTTATATAAGGAGCAACAGTTAATCTTTTCTGGATTTGTTAAACAATTGATTCTTTAGTGAGTTAATCTTTTATTCACTAGTTATATATTTTTTCAATTTTTTAATTAAGTTTTCTAAATAATCTCAATTATAATTGATTTATTAATTATGTGGTTTTTTCTTTGACAGATATGTTGTTTTCACAAGGAAGAAATTGGAGTACTTCAGCTACATTTTTTGTTGATACAATTATTTTTGTACTATAGATTACAATAATTTATATACGATGTAAATTTTTTATTGTGGAATTTCAAGTTATTTTGTACTTTGATATGTATAATTTTATACCAATATAATTATTTTACAAATATAACATATATTGTAATTTTAACTAACAAAATCAAATTTTCCTAATTTTTTTTTAAAATATGTT